CGGTAGCATCACACGTTTAAAAACAGCAGTTGACTTTGTTGGAGTATATAGCTTCTGGAAAATCAAGCTATTTTAAACGACACCGACTCAAACGTTCCTCTCGTTGATGCTTTCCCCCCCACTCTGATTAGTTTTTTTTCATTCTCTCTAATTTATAGGGGATTATTTGTCCACCAGGATTATGCCATAAAAAAATATACAGGTCACCGTGCTAGTTCAGAAGGAAAAAGACCATCGCGCATGTTTAGCTACTATTGTGAAAGGGACGAGCAAAGTCCGATTCGGTCAGTAATTTTTCAATTAAGAGTTTTTTTTTCTATTCACGAGTTCTGAAAAAAAATAATAAAAGTAAAACTTTCAAGTCCATAATAAATAATCGGACGACCTGAAGTCCTGTTTCCATTTAACAAATACTAGGGAAACATCTGAGCAATAAAATATCAATAGTTTAAACGCACTCATAAATGAAAACATGGCGGGTGAGTTTTTTTCCCAAGAGACAAACGCAACAGAAAATGAAGGGTTCTATTTGATTTCCCAAACATAGCGCGGGCTCTGTTCTAAAATAACGCTCAAATAATTGGTGATCGCAATTGAACTGAGTGGAGTGAACTTTGGTCTGAAATCAAAGCAGAAATTTCAAACTTAAGCGAGCGCTCCGTGGTGGTTTCGATTATAAAAATGTCATTGATAATTGTTGATTTGTTTGAACACAGCTCAAAGTTGATTTTGTTGATCGCGCAATGACATTTGTAGGGCTTACGCGATCTGTGATATTGATGTGTGGCGGTCGTGATCTACCTAGCAATGTTTTCACCCGAAAATGTCAAAATCTCTACCCAGTTCTGGGTCCTCTTGGTCATTTTTCCCTGGATAGCCCCCCTCCCCCCATGATCGTGCAAACCATTGATAGGTGCAAAAATAGAGCATCATTAGACTTTAGTATTACACCTCCTCCACGCTAAAAGAGGATAAATGGAAAAAAAGACGTAAACAAAAACAAAACAAGCCAGAACAGATATAAACGAAAAGATCTAAACAAACTGACAAGGAAGCCTGTTTCATGACTATGTTTTGATCGGTCTTTAACGGTCTCTCTGAACTAATCCAGGGCGTTTCCCTTTTCCTCGACAGAAATATAAAGTGGGTCTACATCCTCCCTCGGCACTCTGATAATGAAACTGTCAAGAAATGAAGAATCTTTGCGAGGTGGTAAATATTTGAGGATCTGCAGCATTAAAAGCAAAATGAAATCACCGGTAGACATGCGTTGTTATTCAAAAGATCGTACAAGATTCATGTTTTCTGAAACGCTCAGTGTAGCAATAGGGCTCTCAGTGATGGGGGTCCACGGTTTCATATTTCCCACAGTTAAACCGAATGGTTTAAACAAGTTTTTATAAGGATAATTTCATAATATTGTTTTCCTCTCGTTTGTTTTCGATTCTTTTAACTATAGGATTAGCTTAGGCTACATCTGTGTCATTCTAAGTTCAATTCTCCAGCGCTGAGAATATGTTTAGGCATTTAGAGGTACATACATACATACATACATACATACATACATACATACATACATACATACATACATACATACATACATACATACATACATACATACATACATAC